GGGGGGAGGGGGGGGGCTGCTGTTCAAGGCCCCTGTGTGGGGGAGGGAGGGAGTCTGGAGCAGAGGCAGGAACTGCCTGGGTGTGGTGGGATGTGGGACAGTGCCGTGGGCAGCTCATCTGAGGGGGTGGGGAGCCACTGCGCACACCCCCGGGGGGGCATGGGCCAATGTGCCCCCCTGGATCTGTGTGCAGGGTGAGGGTGGGCTGCTTGCTGCAGGCTGCACCGGCCTCTTCCTGGTGTGGGGTGCGGGGCTGGGTCTGTGCTTGGGATGGGTGTCAGCAGCACTGGGAGGGGCTGTGGCCCCAAAATTCCCTGTAGCCTCCATTCCCAGTGCTCTTGCCACCTGCATCAAGTGCAGCCCCGGCCCAGTCCCCCCGCCAGGAAGAGGCCAATGCAGCCTCCGGCCCCAGTCTACAACAGGCAGCCCAGCCTGCCCTTGCCCTGTGCGCAGATCTGGGGGGGCATATGTGCCCCTATGCAACTCTTCACACCCCCCCCCCCCCCGCGCCCCCCAACAAGGGCACCCCGGGCGCCTTGCCCCCCCCTCTGCCCCCCCCCCCCTCCCCCCCCCCCCCCCCCGGCGCTCCCAGAATGAGCCACCCGTGGCTCTGTTCCCCGCCTCTGGCCCAGCCCCACTTCCTCCGTCACCGTGGGGGCCTTGAACGGCCCTCCCCCATGCCCCTTCCTCCCATCACAGACTTACTGGCCAGACACTGCTCTTTAAGCTGTCTGGCTGCACTCCTGGCTGCATGCATGCTGTGGCTGCACACATGTACACAGCATTTTTTGGGGGACGTTATTGGCTACACCATCCCCAAAAAAGCCAATTGCCAATAATATCAATTTTCCTTTTATTGGTGCCAATACAATATGGACTGATTTTTTTATATTGGTAGACCTCTAGGTTTCATAAAATAGTATTCTCAAACTGACAGCAAGAACAGGACAGATCCAAAAGTCATTTTGCAGTTTATACCCTACAAAAGCTTCCATTGATTTAATTATTTTTTTCCCGCATCGTCTCCAGAATTTTTGAATACAGTTCTGCCTGGCATTAGACTTGAGCTCATGCTCTGACATTAGGAAACATTCTGTGAGTGTGTTTCAGAAGCCACTGTAGCTTCAGTGGACCCAGAATCAGGCCTTGGCAGCCTATGAGAAATATTGTTAGCATGTTATGGAAAGCTGGAAGCCAAAACTTTTAAAGCTTTTCATGCCTAACTTTGAGTATTTGAGATTGACACTTACTTTAACAGGTTTCAAGCACAGGAGAAAATTCACTTTATGAAAGCTGTTCTTCTCAATGTCTTTTTCCAGGTCTGAATCCATTTAAGGAACAAGACCATGTGAATGCAAAATTTGTAGAGGAAATGGCACTGAAACACACAGAAATGCTTTTGGACCTCTAAACTTGCGAATGAGAACATGCTTACTTCAGTGGGTCATCAGCCTTGCTACCTGTATCAATATTTGTCAACAAGAGTGCAAGCAATGTTTTCAGGCTCTATTTTCTTTTTTAAAAAACAAAAGGTTTCAAGTTTTCAACAGCAACCAGCATTAGTAAGTCAACGCCTGCCCAAAATAGTTGCTCCACTTTGCTTATACATATGTTGCAAAATGATTAGGCTGAATGCTGACTTGTTAAAGTTGAATCATCAGAGCTGAGGGAAGAAATATATTTGCTGTAAGTGCAGTTCTGTGGCTAAACACATTTCTACTATTTTCTCTTATACTGTGGAGAAGCCAAACAAGTAACTATAACAAGTATCAAAATAAATTGATGGTGTTCATAATTTTAATTTATATTCCAGTGCCCAACAGGGCAAACCAGGGAAATGGTAAACATTGTGAAATCATGAGAAACTGGCAACTAATTGCACTGACATATAAATGAGTTTTTGGTGAGGTTGTGTAATATAGACAAGTGGAAAAAATGAGAAATTAGTCTTTGTATATAATGTATCAGTTATGAAATGTATCAATGATGATGTATGTATTCTTCATACAGACCATATCTTTTTATGGTACTGCCATGCCTTTGGAGTAGGATCTTAATATATTTGTTTTGTAATTAGTGAAATGTATTCTCTGAAGTTTCCAAAACAGCTTTTCCTGCTGTTTATAGACATTGTACAGTAAAGCAGAGAAGGAAAGAGTCTTTCCAAGTAACTTCACAGTTTAAGTGGGTCTTTTATTTAATTCTGTCCCTCTGACTTCATGTTTATAGATCGTGTATCAGTTTTGAGAAAAAAAGGCTACAGCCCTTGTCTCCATTTTCCAGCTATGTTTATACAAAACTGAGCTAAGTTGTCTAATTTTTTAGCTGTGATGGGTAACAGCAACAAAAAATAGTACATTGGCACCCAACAGAGAGATTGTCTAAACTTTCAACCTGCTGAGATGAAGCTGAGCTAATTTCATCCACTGGGTCAGACCTTGTTTCAGAGTACATACAGATGTGCTTTATATTGCACCCTAATTTGGAGTGTTTTAGTACCATACAAATGTGCAGGCCTCTCCCAGATGAAGTATTTCATAATGTGCCAGAGTGGTGGTGTTGTGTTGCTCCCAGGTCAGAGGCTGCATAGCAGGGATTACAGCTACCTCTCTACCACAATCTCCCAGAGGCTTTCAAGGAGTGACAACAGCAAACTCTTTGATCCCCACACTTCTGCTCGGTGCTTTGTGCTGGTGCATGCTAGTCAGTTTTGCATGCAATGCAAAACTGGTGAGAAGAATGGACTTCAACTCTTTCCTTGGCCTCCAGGCTCTCACAGAGCAGTGCCAAAAGATACCGGCTCTGTTCTGCTCAAATGAGTATTCACCTTATCTGGTCATGCAAACTATTTTTTCATGGACCACTTGAAAATTGCTGAGGGTCTTGGCAGACCACTTAATCTCCATTGTCAGAAAAAATAAATCAAGTGCAGGGCCAAATACAGATATTCTCGATTGTTCTGCAACCTTTCTGCAGACCAGCTGAAGGCAACTTGCAGACCACAGTTTGAGAACCTCTGTGCTAGGCTGGCCAGAGTGTGCTAGCACCATGGTTCCTGCTCTAACTAGGTGTCTGATGATGTGGAGAGTGTTTGCCTGTACAATGGACTCTTCGATTCCAAAAAAGAGCTGTTCAAGAGCTGCACGATACCTTTGTAGTGCACCATTGGGGGTGCCATGTTGGAGGATGGAGGGCACTGACACTGTACTGTGGGGTGGGCAAAGTCCAGCCCGCATGCCAGATCCGACCGGTAGTGGACAGCAACCCTGCTTGCATGGCTGGGGCTGGTCTCCATGGAGAGCCCAGCTGTGCTGTGATAGCACAAGGCTGGGGTTGCCATGGAGTTTGTTCTGCCTTTTCATGGCCAATGTCTGTTCACTTGTGACTGGAGAGCACCCTTTTAATTTTGGTCCTGCAGCACATAAATGGGCTGGATAGGAGAAATGGTAACCACATAATCTGCTTTGAAACCCAAATCATCATCTTCCCCACTCCAACAGCTCATGGACAACAGTAGTCTCTGCTTGTACTCTATAGCCCTTACAGCCCCAGAGATGGGAGGAGCCCATCCCCAAGGTACTTTGGGGGGTTTTCCCTCAAACTGCCCACAAAAATCCCTGCACTCTACTGGCAATACTTGGCTCTGCCAGAGATCTATCAGTGGACTCTGTACTAGTAATGCCCTGGGCCTTGCTCAAAGCAAGGCTTGGGTGACTTCTGTTTCGAAGGAAGTTAGTGATGCTACTGTAACATGAGTGATGTTTTACTCACTCATGCATTTGGTGTCCTGCCATACAGGAATTTCTTTCAGGCAGCAGGGCCCTGGGGGCTGACTGGATGAAAGCAGGGTGGTTAGGAGAGATGCTGGGGAAATGGTTGGTGCCATCCTGAGGCTGCATTGTGGCTCTAGGTGGATCTTCTCAGCCCTCCAGGTGTGTCATCACTGTTGTTGAACAGCTCCAGGTCCACTCATAAGATAACAGGGTGACGAAGCACAGCTCTGTACAATCATCACCAGTCAGAATGACAACCCCTTGCTATAAAAACATGTCACCTGCTTGGCATCCAAAATATGGTTGGATCACAGGCTCTATTATGCTGCACTTTCAGGACCTTTGCCATAGTCTGGTACTGATGGCAGTCCTGCTTATGCCTGTAGGTTGTAGTCTCTGCCACAATCCATACATGGCCTAGTTACAGTGGCTCTTCTGTAAGGACCTTTGGGTGTTCTCAGCACAGAGGGAGAGATGGGTCATGACCTCTGCACCTCTCCCAGTGTTGCCAACTGTAAATTTGTGGACAGTTCATTTAAAAAAAAAACCCAGCCTAAAGTCACCTATCTGAGCCTCTAAAAATAAGAAGTTCTGAGCTTGTTTCAAGATTCACCATCTGAATGAAGCTACGTTCAAGCATTAGTGCTGGACAGAGAGCAGAGCAGCACCACCTGGTGTCTAAGTGAGTGCTGCTTGGTGCCCTGTAGTTAGCTGGTGTTGGGGAGTTTTGCTTCATTAGAGCCCCTGTAGCTCCTTGCAGCTGTGATGAATCTGTGGGGAGGAGGTGACAGTTGGGGGTCCATGCTGGGATTTGGGGGGAGCGGGGCCAGTGGGAGTAAGGTAAGATGACAGCAATATGGTGTGGGAAGAGTTATGGTGTGGGAGTGCAGTCAGGGGTGAGTAGGGGACCCCTATGGTGGGGGCAGCAGGGTCTAAAAATATTGCTGGTCATCATGCAGAGTTGTCAACCAAAGAATTTTATTTATTTATTTATTTTTACTGACAGTAAAAGCATGTCAGTTAAAAAAGTTTTGTATGTAAAAAGTTTCCAGATTTTCAGTTAAAAAATTTCTCAGGTTGTCAGTCCTTTCCCTTCCGCTCCGGCTGTGGAGGACTTTATGGTTGCAGACATTTTGGGTGCAGGTGGTGTGGTGGATCACAAGGTACTTGAGTTTGCTGCACTCCGTGAAGTCAGGTGTTAAGGATGGTGGTCAAGAACACGTGGGGAGGAAGAACCAGCAGCATACCTACAGGCTGGGGAACTCCAAGATCCTTTTCTGTCTCTGCACTGACGAGAAGGGAGTCATCACTGATGCCAAGATGAACATGGGCTGACAGTGTGGGGATGCGGTCAGGAAGGCCAACCATACCTTGTCATGCATCCACAGATGCATCTCAAGCAGGTCCAGGAAGGTGATACTCCCCCTCTATGTGACACTGGTCAGGCCGCAGCTGGAGTACTGTGGACAACATGGAGAGGATCCAGAGGATCCTCATGTGATCACTCGTGATCAGGGGGCAGGAGGGCAGGCCCTACGAGGAGAGGCTAAGGGACCTGAACCTGTTCAGCCTTCACAAGAGAAGGCTGAGGGGGGGTCTAGTGGCCTGTTACAAACTAGTCAGAGGGGACCAGCAGGCACTGGGGGAGTCCCTGTTCCCCCAAGCGCTACCAGGAGTGATGAGAAATAATGGTCACAAGCTGGCAGAGGGTAGATTCAGGCTAGATATCAGGAGGCGCTACTTCACTGTCAGGGCGGCTAGGATCTGGAACCAACTTCCAAGCGAAGTGTTGCTGGCTCCTACCCTGGGGGTCTTTAAGACAAGGCTAGATGAACACCTTGGTGGGGTCGTTTGACCCCAGTACTCTTTCCTGCCATGGCAGGGGGTCAGACTTGATGATCTGCTCAGGTCCCTCCGACCCTACCAACTATGAAACATAACTGCCCTAGCATCCCTGGGCCCCTATGTTTAAAGAGGTGTGTTCACATGGGGTTAGGGTCTCTAACAGTGAAGTTGGCAGTCACAGAGGGGTCACTTCAGGCTAGTGATGTGTGGGGGCAGTGGAATGGGAAGCAGAGCACTGTGGGATGGTGGTAGACTGACCAAATTTCCTGTCATTCTGCTGGAGAGTACAGACGTAACATGAAATGCTTTAGAACTGATTTTTTTTTTTTTTTTTTTTAATCCATGGTCATTTTTGAGCAAGTTCAGGTCTATTTGTTATGCTTTAATGCCACATGTCACCTGTATCCTCACTTCCTGGAGTGCTTTTAAAGGCACTTGACAAGCTGCAAATGTTACGTCCATCCATTCTCTCAGGCTGCACTGAACAAGAATGAAATTGACTCTTAAAGATGTTCCCTGAGCTCCTCATTGGCCCCCTTTTCACTGACTCAGCATATTTGTAACCGGGGCAGTATATTTCTAAACCGGCATTCTTGTTTCATACTAGTGAGAGGAGAAATTCAGTTCCCAGAAAGCCTTTTCCTCACACTTTCACTTCTCTGTGCAAAAACACGCCTGGTGATGAGTAGCAGCGGTGATTATAAGGAAGCAAAACCAAGGAAGGGGCATTTCTTAAACTTGCCGACATTTTCAATTTAATTCATTTGGATTAATTGATACAGAACATAAGCACATTCAGAAAATTGTTAAGAACAATAACAGTTTTTAAAAGAACTGTATGTTAGAAAATAGAAGCAAGTACAATAAACTTTAGTTTAAAACAATCCCATTGTTTGCTTTACTTGATATTTCAAAACACTGTATTGCATGTTTTGGATATACAATTTCATTTAGCAAGGAGAAAGTGCTGTATTTTACTGCATATTTAATTACGGTTTTGCTTGAAAATTACTTTGTTTGCAGTATGAAATTTGGCAAAGTGTTAACACATATTTAAAAACACCATATAAAAATTGTTGGCTTTGGACAGTCACTAACAGACTCTCCTGGCTTAGATGAAACAGGCTTAACTTTTTCAGATTTCAATTGGTTTTATAATAGGTTTTCTGATGTGTCTCATGTTTGAACCAAGTACACTTGGTTTGAAAGGAGCAAGAGCACCATAGGGTCGTGGCAAAGGGAGAACGTCTTCTTCATCTGGGATGTATGCATTGGGGCGGTCACTCTTTTTCTGGAGCCTCCCTTGTAATGCATCCTCTTCTTCTTGTGCAGCACGCTGTAGGAGAAACATTTTTGCTCTATTTAAATAATGCCAATCCATTAAACAATTCACAGGGTTTGCACTTAAAACTCACAGATCACTGCTCAGAGGTGTGAAAAGCAAGGTGCTTGACTATGCAAAGTAGCAGTGTCCTTACTAAATAGGGAAACTGAGGCAGCCCTTTACTAAAAGGTGTTTCACAGTTTCTAGGTTGATGTGAACCTGTCCTCCTAAACAGGATATTCTCCCAGTCAGTGGTGAAGAAAACAATTTAGAATAACTTAGAAAGCTGTAACAAATGTTCACAGCAAGTCCCTGGCGTCAGTATGTTAAGTGAAGCTGAGACTGACACTTCAAAGCCTGGAAGCATTTACATTGGCAGTGGTTTTGTCATGAAGCTGACTGGTGTCACTGGGCAGAAAGTGTTTATACAGCTCTTGAAGCTGAGGCAACGTGCGGTGCGCTGTGAGCTCCAGTGAGACC